TTCACTAGATTGTTAAACAGGAAATAAGTTGTAAACGGTACAAAATTTTTCGTGTTTATATAATAAATTTTTTAAGTGTATTAATCAAAATAATAACTAAAAATTTATTTATTATAATATTATTCTATTATTTAATTTTATACTAAACAAGAATAATAAATTCTATTTAGAAGAAATTTCGAAAAATAAAATATTTTTTTATTTACAAATATGCAAATTTTTGTCTTTTATCAATTAATATAATTGATTATTTATTAGTTTATAATCATTATATTTGTTTATGAGCATATAGATTTTCCTTCTATTTAATTATTTATTAATGATAATATTCCTATGAAAATAATTTTAATATGTACCATTTTTATCGACACATTTTTTATATCAGATTGTAATATCTTGTAATATCTTGTAAATATTATTACAAGTAACGAATTATTTATATTTTACCCTTAAAATACAATAATTGAATTTTAATTTTATTCTTGTAGAAGTATTTATTTGTAATGAAGTTATATATGTTGATTAAATTTTAAATTAATTTAGTTTTTAATTTTTTGAATACGTTATATTCCATTTTTATATTTGTATAAATAATAGTTAACTAGAAATGTATATTATTATTAGAATTATTACTGATGCATTTCAAGATATACTGTCATTGATATTGTATACATCTAGTATTGTAATTCCAGCCAGGATTATATCTGTTTATCTTCAAAATGCCGAATTGTATAACGAGTTAAAAACTGTTTGGACGAACTTATTACTTAGTCAATTTTTTATATTATATATAAATTTTTTTAATATATTCATAAGTACAATTATTTCTTTAAAAATTATTGTATTTCAGTTGTTGACGCGCAACTATATATATTTATTCTATTGAAAGTAACATTAATAAACAGGAATCAACAATGTTTCAATTCTATTGAAAATTTGAAGAAAAAATGTAGTTAATTTTTATGTTTCTATATTTCTATAATTTGAATTAATTATTCTTAATATTATAATTATCATAACATTCTGATAATTAAATTTGATTAGAACATTTCATATTATAGTATCTTGTTTGACTAAAGTAGTTACACTCTGTCATTGTAACACCTTAGTGTTATTATAAGTGTTATATATAATATGTATTTTATATATAATAAATGCATTTTTTTCAATGGTTAATATTATAATATCAAATTTAATATACATTAATGTATAATATTGATTTTTCTAATCCTTGTATTTTATGATTTAAAAATTATTCTTTTTGAAGGTACTGAAGATAATTTAACAATAACGTTTTATGAAAATTTCGTAAAATTGATTTTCATTTCTAATGAACAAAATATTACGGATTTAAAAAATTTATCTTTTCAAATAATAATTTTATTTATGATTGAACTGATGTTCATTTACAAGTTTGTTTTTACAATCATTTAATATACTTTTTCAAAATTTTGTAATATTAAATGCTATAATTGTATAATTATTTTTTTTATTCATTATTATTCTAATCTGTAATGATTAACTTAATTATATAATTCTATTCCAAATAAGAATGTAATTTTTATATACTTCTCGAGATGATTTTACTAAACATAAAGTTTTATGTATTATGTATAATATTTTACATAGATTTAAATAATAATACGACTTTGATATTTTATTTGGATGGTATAATAATAATTTTTTTTAAATTAGTATAATGAAATAAATAATATATAGAATATTAAAATAATATGAGAAAAAAATATTTTAAGAAAAATGTAGTCATCAAGTCAAGTGGAAAGCAAATAAAGGACACGTGATGCTAAGTTCACATCACTAGAATCATGTCATTAGTTGTAAGAGAAATATTACGTAGAGTACTGTCATAGCTGTCGCTGTAACATATTATGGCAGTAACAATATATTTTGTATGATTGACATTTTCGATAAGTAAATAGATTTAGATATTGCCTCTGTTTGGCTGACAAGTTGAATGAGAGCCGTCACATACGTTTATGCCAATGAAGAAAAAATAATTTCCTAGTCTTTGGTACATGTAAATTACTTTTTATTTATATCTATCATCATTTAGATTCATTTAATATTTATTTAAATTTGTTTAAATTTTTGATAGGATGATTCTGAGATCATAAGTTTAGAGATTATATGATGTTATGTATTTATGCTCTTAACATATGTATTTTTCATATTATATATCCATTATATATCCATAATATTATATAGAAATAACTTAGTAGTTTTTAAAAATTATAAACGTATAAATGAATGAATATGTAATAATATAATGCTATTATATATTATAAATAATACGTTTAAATTAATAGAAATATGTAAAAATAAAAATATTTAATTATGGTGAATATTATCTGATAAATTTTATAAGGAAAATCTATTATAAATATTGATACAAATATTTGTTTTTGTGATAATATTTTTAAAAATGTATTATATAGTATTTAATTTTTTTTGAATAATAAAAAATTAAGTATTATATTTTTTTAATCTTAAAATAAAATTATAAATACTTAGAAAAATTGAAAATATTTCTTATTTTAAGATCTAAGTATACTTTTCAATGGAAAACTAACTACAAATAATTAAATGAAATATAATAAAATAACTAAAAATAATTATGTTTAAATTTAAATTGTAATATAAAGTAGTTTTCCACTTATGTATCTTTAAAAATAGTTTCTCGATATGTGCGAGCTTTTTTCAGAATTATTTGATTTATACCTTTCATTAGTATGAATTAGATTTAATTTATTCACTTGCATTATTTATAGAAATATTTAAAGTTTACAATTATTACACTGAGTTTCATCTAATACGAATTTATTAAAAAATATTCTTTTAATATGAATGCAAAAATTAAGAGCTTAAAAAAGGAAATATAGAAAAGTTAAGATTTATAATACTATATTATTTAAGATTAAATTAAAAATATCAGCATGTATCAAAGAAACTATGCTTAATGATATAAACGATGCATTATTTAACTACTTGCTTTCTGCTACAAGTACATTATTTTGAGCACTGTGTTTGTCGAAATTGCTTAGAATGGATTCTTAGCTGTTGTACTAAAAGTCATTCGGTTTAACATCGTAAGGTCTAACTATGATGTGCGTTTGTACATTTAATATCTTAGAAAAATTACAATTCTGTTCGATTGTCTTCTCAGAGCGACATTACGATTTTTATTTTACCAGAATTCATCGAACTTCAACCGAGTATTGTAACTATTAGCTTTAAAAATTCTTTTATTTCTCTTATTTCAAGAAGGATATATATTAATATTTATCGATTTAATACGATTGAAATTTTTTAAATTAATTTATGTTAACGTTAATTTATGAAATTATATTTTGTAATTAATTTAAACAATTTATTACAATAAATTTATTATTATAATTACAACTTGCATATTATACAATTCGTCTAAATTAATTTAATAATGAATCGTAAGGCGGCAATGTATATGGTTTTTAAATGTTTATTATTTTTATTATTTACACCTACGAAATCTTATTTTCCACAACAATTTTAAATAAAAAACATTAGATTTATAAATTATCGATTGGAATAAATAAACATTACTTGTACTAAAAATTAACATTATTTACCAATTCACTTTATAAAGCAGGATTTTTTGAAAAATAATAATGTTTGTATAAAGATGATATTATATATCACCTGTATAATCAAAAGTTACATTTTTACATTAAAATATAAAATATATATTTTTATTTATGATAATTTCAGAAATTTATATTTGTTTTAAAATGATTTTTTTTCATTTATTCTCAACTTTTAATATAATTATTTATGCATTAATTAGTAAACATTGAAACAATTATATAATATGGTACTTTTTAATTAAATTCTTATCAAAAAGATAATTTTTAAATTTCTCTTAATAAATGAATATTTTGTACATGCTATAAATATGCATATAAAATGATAAATTTTTAAGTACTATTAATTTTAAATAATAAATAAAACATAGTACTTTAATAATATATTTTTAAAAAAGTGAAAGAAGAAAAGATACGTAGAATAAATAAATTAACATGAAATAGAATTAGATTCATCACCGTAGAGAAGAAGTGACATTAACGATGTTCAAAAAATCAAAAATAATATGTACTCTATTTAATAGCTAACTGTAATTATATCAAGGACTATTTGAAAGAATTTTTATATGTTAAATTACGAAATTGAATTTTCATATATTCAGTTACTGATTTATGTTTTGCAACTATTTTAAATTGCGATAATTTAAACAGGTGTAGTGTTTGTATCAATCAAAATTTAGTTTTAAAATGAATTATAAGCAATTCATATTTCACTGATTGTCAATGTAATTATAAAGATTAAAAAAAATATTTTATAACAACTGACCTAAATAGTATATATGTGCAATTATGATTAATTATTTTATAAATTTATCGTGATTAATTAATGTAAATTTATAAATAAATAAATAAATTAATTGCAGTAATAATTAACACTTTAAACAATTAATTATTTACAGTTAACTTTATTAACAGATACAATTGTTTAGTAAAGAAATCAAAGTTAATATCTCGAAAAATATATAAAGTGTGTGATGCAAGCAAATAATAGCATGTAACTTATTTTTTAATAAAGCACACTATTCAGCATTGAAATGTTCGCTTCATTAAAAATATATTGGTACGATTGTATACACATGTCAGAGTGGCTTGAAATATTAATAAGGAGACTTTCAAATGATCACAGTTATATTACCTTTTACACTTGCTAAGCAACATCAACAAACACAACCCGGTGCATTCTAATATTCTTTGATTTATACGTTTTTGTATATTGTTTAATTAGAAATTACACTTATTTTCCAGTCGGATTTCAATCATGAAACAGTTCTTAGTTAAAGACACTTGCAACACACTCTGAGGTGTACTTAGTTCCATGCCTTGCCATCGGCACAAGCATGCGACGATGATGGGTCGACTTACCGTATTTGGTACTATAGGATAGACAAGTGAGGCCTTTTTGTGTGAGCGGCGTGCGCCGGCTCGAGGACCGGAGCCCTGCTGCTCGGCGTACCGCAAGTACGATACAGAGGTGGCAGCAAAAGCAACGGTTCGCGGTGTTGTCGAGGCGAGGAGTCGAATCGCCGGCTACTTAACTGATAAACGGAACGCTGTAGGCCACGAGTCATTCGCTTAAGTAGTGCAGCTGGGACTCGCTCTGGCGACAGTCAAGGCAAATCAGGCGGCGGCAACAACGGCGGCTCCTGGCGTCCGGCCAATGACCAGTACTGAAGTGCTAGGATTTATTACCAACAAAAGACTCCGAACTCGGAAGAG